TGCCTTTCTCTTTTGCTTCTTGCTTGCACTGTTGCAGTAAGGGAACAAGGAGGTTTGATTGTTATTTTCGTTTTGGCTTGTTATCGTAATTGACCACCTCAATGCCTGGCTGCTTGGCACACATCTGCCTGGTTTCCATGGCTTTTAAATAAATATAAGAATATTCCATCCTAACCCCCCTTCTGTTAAGGGCTCTGGGCTCTTGAAACAAAAGCTTTTTCTTACACATGCATATATTCTATTTTTTCTTTTCATTCTAGCAAGATCCAAATATTTGAAGAAAAGGAGAATGGATAATCCAGATGCACATTAGACTGCATTAGATAGGATATTGAAACCTCTTCAAATATTTTTGCTTGGCCTGCGGAACAATGTGATTAATTTTGGCCAGATGGAGCATGATTATGAATTAGCTACATGTAGACTAGATGTGAGACACTAAACAATGACCCACAGCATAGCTTTAAATTATACAGATGAGGCTCTTTGCCCACAGTGGTTTAATTATTTTCTTGGAGGACATTACACTTCTTCATTCAGGAAGCCTAATGAATTTCATAATTACTTTTTCCTCTTAAGTCTACAAGTGATAATTCCCCAACTGGACTGGTAAAGAGGAACCCACAGAAGGAAATATTACTGATGTGTGAAAAACTCAGGACAGCAGTTTTTGGCTGACCATACCCATTTTTACACATACCCAACAGCCAATTGAAGTGCTTGTATCTCTGGGCCTGGGGGAGGAGGAGAGTAAGTTTCTTTTACCCCTCCTAGGTCTGTAGCTCCATTTCTTTGATCGTTCCTGCCTTAGTTCAGTCCATCATCAGCTCTTATCTGGATTGTTAGGAACTATTGCTTAGTATCCATCCAATTCAGCCTCCACACTGACATCTGAGTTTCCATGATCAAATAACAACCTCCATTGACTAGCCAATGCCTTTAGGATCAAGCCAAAACGCCTAAGCAAATGAGATCCGAAGCAAATGGGGCCAAAGGGTCTTGTCTTTCATCACCATCTTCCAGCAGGAACACACTGTTTGCTTAAAGCACAATATACCTGTTGTCTTTTGAACAAAATCCCTTCCACTTTTGTGACTTTGCAACGGCTCTTCCCCCAATCAGAGCATAGTGCCCATTGCCTTTTCTCTTCTAGGAAAAAAATTAGACTCATCTTTCCATACTAGTTCAAATTTTGGTTGTTGTGTTCAATATGTTAAAGGCAGAACAGCAAAATGGGGAAGAGTAAGGAGACTAGAGACTTGGGCTCCATCATTGATCACTGTAACCTCAGGTGACTTGTTTAACTCCCCTAAGCTTCAGTTTCCTATGTAAGTTGGTGCCTTTTTCCACCGCAGTGTCTGTTCTTCCCTCTGCCTGAAATGCCTGCACCTTAGCTCTTCATGTGTCTGATTCATTCTCACCCTCCAGGTATCTGCTTAGAAAGGTCACCTCCTCGGAGAGGTCTGTCCCGACCATCTCATCCAAAGTGGCTTCCTCCAGTTAATCCCTATCTCATCTCCCCACACTTCTTTTTCATCACAGTCTGCACTGTTCTTCTTTATTTATGTACTTGTTTATTGTCTGTCTTTTCCATCAGACTTGTTGGCTCCGTGAAGCCAGAGGCTTTGCTTGTTTACTGCTTTGTGGTCTGCAACAAGAGCTGAGCAAAACAGAGAGTGAGTATTGAATGACTGGCGGCTGACTGACCAAATGGATGAGTTTGTTGAGGATAAACTGAAGATCGTCACAATTCCCTGTTATTATTCACATTTCCCTGTTATTATTTCCATGCAGCTTCCAGGTAGTGCTCTAGCCTTCCCACTCAGCCAGGCTTCTTGAAAGCACAGTCTCTACCCAATGCCACATTCCTTCAATCCTGAACTGACTCTCCTCTGGCTTATGCCCCTGCCATTCCACAAAAACTGTTCTTCTTAGGGGCATCCTATTTACCAAATCCAATGCCTGCTTCTTAGTCCGTGTCTCACTTGTCTGCTTGACGCTGTGAGTACTCCTTTCTTCCTGAAACTCTTCTGCTTTGACTTCATACTACTCTAGATGCCTGTGTACAGCAGTGGTTAGGAACTGGGGGCAGTTTTGCCCTCCAGGGATATGTGGTAATGCCTGGAGGTATGCCTCATCTTAACTGGGAGGGGGCTGCTAATGGCATCTGGTGGGTAGAAGCCAGGGTTGCTGCTAAACATACTACATACTTCCAGACAAGAATTATCTGGCCCAAAATGTCAACAATGCAAAGACTGAGAAACCCTAGTCTACAGAATGTCCTGCAGACACTTCATGTATAAGATGGACATGTTCAAAAATAAATCATTACTCTTTTTGTCAACTACTTATTTGTTACTTGTTATTCCTAATCTGATTAATGGCACTTAGTCTTATAAATCAGTATCTTGGGAATAATGTTTATTTTCTGTCTCTCCCTCATCAGGCCCATCTACTAGTCACTAATTCCCTTTTGATTTTATCTCCTAAATATCTGTCATCTTTTTTCTTCCCTCAGCTACCACTACCTTCATATGAGTGTAGACATCATTTAGTTTGTGACCGTCTCCTAAATGGACTCCCTGTTTTGAGTCTTATAAATGCCTCCGGCTCATTCTCTTTGAATAACCTTTCTAAAATGAAAGCCCAATCACATTTCTTCCACTGCCTATAAGATAAAGGCTGAGCTTCCAGGTCCAGCTTTCCAGCTTTCCAGCTTACCATGCTTACCATATGCTTTATTACCTACAGATCTGTGTTCTGGTGCTCTTCTTCCTAATCTTCTCTCTTAATAAAAACACAAGAAAACAAAACCAACAAAACAAAACATAAAAGCTTGACATTTCACACTTCAGTTTATTGGACATGATATTCCCACTGTTGCTGGAGAATAGGCTCTTGCTTCCCCCAGGGAAGAATTCAAGAGCGAGGCACAGTAAAGTGAAAGCAAGTTTATTCAGAGAGATAGACACTCCATAGACAGACTGCAGGTCGCTTTCTCTTTCTCTTGCCTTCTGAGGTGGCCCACACTCTCTCTATTGAGTGTGTATCTATGTTTACTTTAAACTAAATACCCCCCGCCCCACCTCTCAGCCTCTTTCCCTCTCACCTTTTGAGATGGCCTGTAGGCAAGAACCTATTCTCTGGGCAACATCCCATTTTGGAATACCCTCTCCCCTGGGTCCCACCCCATCTCAACAGACCCCTCACCAGGCCCTCCTGCAAATTTCCTCCTGGAAAAAAATCTGTCTTTTGAAAACTCTGCTCTGTGCATGTGCATACTTCTATTGGGACACTTTTTGTATACATACCATCTCAAATATAAAAATCTCAGTTCAAAAATTGAAGTGTAATGAAGCAATATATTTTTTTATGCCACTTAAATTTAAATTTTTTGAATACCCAGTCTATAAGGTAGGAAATCCCAGTAAATTCATGGTCTCCCCCACTTATCCCTGTGTTGTGGTTAAATTCTGGGGAAAACTTCACAGAACCTAAGTTTTGGAGAAGATATAGGCACTGACCCCTCATCTCGGTACACAGGGCTCCTTCAGAGTTTGGGGTTCTCTTCTTGGCACCTGTGTCTTGCTTGCAGATACCCTCATCATTTTGCTTTTATGGGGACACACTGGAGATTGAGAATCTTTCTAGGGCTTCCTATTGCTTCCCCATTCCTCAGAATTATTCCCTCTCTGGCATTTTGCTAGCTAGCCCAGACTCCCGGGATGCAGAAACTAGGTCTGTACTCAGGGACCCAGGGGTATTCCCTTTCTTTTAATCTTGTTAATATTTTGCTTCAGAAGCATTTCCTGTCTTGTAAAAATTTTAACTCAGAGTTATCTAATGTTTTCTTCAATAGGTTTAGACTTTTAATGGGTTTAGTCACAAAAAAGCTAATGACTCTCAAATCCTTTCTGCTTAGTCCTGTCCCATCCCCACACTTGAGGGAGAGTGAAAGAGAATGGCCAGTAGCTCCTAAATTCAATGGTTCATTGGATACACCTGAAAAGTGCTTTTAAAATTGTCAACTAAAAATTGGCACTTGCCATCTGCCTCTACAAGCATTGAATCACGTTGGCACTTGCCATCTAACTCTGCTTGGATTAAGTCAGGAGCCGCTGCAGCCGCTGACCTCCAACAGGCCCTGAAAGGAGTTGGGTGGAGATCTGGAATGGGGCACTCTGAGCTCTGGGAAAACTGGCTGAACAGACCTTCAGATAGTTAGATATTTTCAGGAGAAGATGTAATGAGCCCAAATTGTAGTGTTCCTCACATCTAGAAAAGCACTAAAATCATTAACAGTGACCTCTGCTCCTAGTGACTAGCAGCAAGCCTCTGCCTAAGTGTGATCTTGACTGCTGGTACCCCACTCTCCACTTTCACTAAAATCGTATATAGTACGGATGTTCCTCGTCGGAGCATTTACTCAGAACTATCTGAAATGCTGTCTCCCGGGCTGTAGACCTCATTTTGTCCCAAGGAAAACTTAACTCACAACTCTCATATTGTGTTATTTTATTTCAGTCCACGAAATTAAAGATATTACCACCCCCAACTCTGCACAGTCAGCATCTGGTTTTTTAAATGATCACAGGAGATCAAGGTCGAATTTTCTGATCTCTCAGTGGTAGGCGCTGGGCAGGATTCTGCTTAGTCTCCTCAAAGTCCACAAATTCCTATTCCGGTGGTACGCCAGTCTCTACCTCTCCTTCCTTTGCTATTCTCTCCTTTCTGCTAGTCCTCCCAGCCTCTCCCTCCCCTCCTAGTCCTTGCTCTTACCACCAGGCTCTACCTCTCTGCCCTGCACCAAACCCCTCCTCTGCCCTCACACAGCCCCGCCCCTCACAAGCCCCACTCACATACGAGCCCCGCCTACCACTGGCACTACCTCCTAGCCCCGCCCCATCCCCTCCTGGCCACCCCGCCCTCTCCTCCCCTCCCCACCTCCTCTTTGCTCCGCCTCTTCCCTTTTCCTGCCCCTTCTTCCTGGCCTAACAGTCTCCGCCCCTTTTGGTTCCTCCTCTGCGTTCCTTCGCTCTGCAACCCGCCTCTTCCGTCTCAGGGTTGTGACGTTTACTCTGCGCCGGAAGGAGAGCCGCAGAACGCTTTTGGAATTATGGCGGCGGTGGATATTCGAGGTAAGCTGCGCTGTTTCCTGATTGTCTAGGGTCTGGTTTAGGGATTTAGAACTCTCGGGAGCAAGGTTCCGGTTCACTTGTGAGGTCTCCCATGCTCTTTTGAATGTTTTCTGTGAACGACCCAAAGCTCTAATCTGGCGAAAAGTTCCCTAGATTTTCGCAGTTTTTCAGGGGTCTTTTAGAAGCGTTGAAACGAAGGGGTTGTAAGAAGTCCTGGGCTTTGAGCCCTGAGCCCTGCGGTATTGTTCTACACGCATATTTCTACGCCCGTTTTGGGGCTGTACTATCCGGGCAAAGGAACGGCCTTTGGGCAGGGAAGGGGGTGGAATTATGAGCCGACCAGGATCATCCCTTGGGACTTTGCCTGGGCGCTACCTTTTTCCTAACGTCGCGTCCCGCGTGTCCGGCGTCTTTGTGCATGAACCCCTACGATTACTGAGGGCAGGGGTCATTTCTTTTTCACAGCTGAACTCTAAAGGTACTCAAATATCTGTGAATCAGTGAATAAATATATGGAGACAAAACCCCTTAATTGGCTACTTTATCTCGCGTAGCATTAGGCCATATACTGTCTTCGCAGCACACCGTACGTACACACATCCGCTTCAGTGAAACTCTGGGATTCCAGAGTGAACGGAAAGGCGATTTTAAAATAGCTAAAGTATGAGAACTTAGTTCCAAACAGAACAGGTTCCAGTAGATTGGGAGGAGGTATCATGGAAGTTCCCAGGAAAAATTCAGGAGATTGAGAATGCGCCTGCGAATATCTGTGTCTTTTATTGTGCTTGTGGCTCTTGCAAAACTTTCTACCCTTGTATGAAATTCTTAACAATAGATGTATTTCCATTTGAAACTTTGTAGTACTTTTCCTTCCAAGAAGTTCGAATTTTTGTACCTAGATGCAAGCCGAGATTCGCGGTTAAATTTACCTTTCTTCTTCCCAGCAAACGTCTTTCTTCAAAAGATGTTTAATATGTTCCTAATCATTTGTACATAGGGTTATTTATATCTGTATATACTTACTTTTTAAAGGAAGGTGTTTGAGATTCTTTTTTTTTATATTAACCACATTGGAATCTAGCACACATATTAAAAATATATTGTCACTTATATACTGTCAAAATGTCCAGTGATCATTAGCACTTCTGGATGATGCTTTTGCCTGTTTGTCTTTAATCATAAGTGAGAATATCAAGTACCTAATTTCATTACTTGCTGATTTTTACAGAGCTGTACTAGGTCTCTCCCTTGCTCCTGAATGACAAAGAGAAACATTTAGTCCATCAGACTTTTTAGCTTTCATAACTTTTTAAATTTAGATTCGTTAGGGTCATTGCAAAGTGGGAATGTGTCTGGGGTGTTAGAATAACAGCACGAATGCCAGTATGGCTGAAGCAGAGTGAGAATGCAGGAAGGAGATGCGGTAGAGAGAGAATTGGTGGCTTCATCATGTAGGATTTGTAGGCGGTGGTAAGGTCTTTGGCTTTTCCTCTGAGTAAAATGGAGAAACATTGGAGGGTTTTGACCAGAGGGGATGAACATATTCTGACTTACTTTTTTTTAGGGTCAGCTTGGCTGCCAAGAACAGTGTAGGAGGGTAAGGGTGGAATTAGGGAGACCAGTTAGGCCATTTTTCTAATGACTGGAGATTTAGAGGAAGCTCAGACTATGGTGGTAACGATGGAGATGGTAAGAAGTGGTTGGAGTCTGCCTGTAGTGTATTCTCTTTATTGGGCTGTGGTTTTTGGTAGTCTGTAGTAAGTGGGACAGTTAATTATATTCTATTTCACAGCCACACACCATCCTCTTAATCCCAGTTAAGTATTTTGTAAATGAACATCCTTAGATACTGGAGTATGTGTAAATCTATGACCAGTAGAATAACTTGTACTTAGCCCTATATCATGAATTAATAAACATTTGCTGACTCTTACAAATCTGGTCCTGTGCTAGTTCCTGATGAGTAACACACAGCCTCAGTCCCTTAAAAACTCAACATTTAATGGGTACGTATTTGTATTTTTGGGTTATGATACAATATTATGATTAATAATAACGGTATATAGAAACTGCTAGAAGACCATAGAGAAAGAAGCCATCATTTGTCTTGTAGAGAAAGATTTTGCAGAGATTAGTGATGTTTGAAATTAGTTTAATCTAGTATGACCATTTGAATTATCTACTAAACTCATACCCTTTTGAGATTGAAAGAGGTTTCTATCTTTTTAAATGTATAAATGTAAAAATAAGAGAAAAATGAAAAGAGGCACAAACTAGGACAGCCTTGATTAAGCCAGGAATAAGTTTGGTCATCTTAATCTTAAAAGAAATTGACTACTAGCACTACCACTATCATCATCATAATTCTTACTGGGTTATTATAATGTGCCAAGCATTTTATGTACATAATCTAGCATGGAGATACTATTATAATCCCCATTTTATAGATGAGGAAACTAAGGCTTGGGGAGATTAACTTGTCTGAAGTCCCATAATTTTCAATATACTTTTCCTTGTGCCATTCTGTTGTGTGGTGGTGAACTGTGGGCAGTGAAGTGGGAATAGTGGAGCTAGACTGTGAAATGCCATGCTAAAGAATTTGAACCTTATTCTTTTAGACAGTAGGTATGCACTGCCATTCTTTAAGTAAGAAGTGACATAGTTAAATTTGTGTTTGCATAGAGTAGGATGACACATGTTCAGCTCTCACTTAAAAATGCACAAGCAGCATTTTTAGGCTGAATAGGATTGAGAGAAGATCTGGAGACAGGAATCCCTGTAAGGGGCTTGTTGACCAGGCGACACTTGGAAAAAGATTAAGTACATATTGGCAATGGGGACAGAGAAGAGGAAATGCCGTTGACTAAACTACATCCTCTCTAGGACAGCACTCGTTTTTCTACAGGTGATTTCCAATCTGTAGTATCAGCCCTGGCGTCTCACAAGCTTTTAATATCTGTCTTTACTAGGTATTTTCAGTTTGAGGCAGCATAGTGTAGAGAAGTGCAGGCCTTGGAGCTGGGCTGCCTGGATTCAGATCTTAGCTCTACCATTTAATGGCTCTGTGGTCTTGTGTTTCAGGTTCTTCTTCTATAAAATAGTCATAATAATAGCACCAGCCTCAAGTTACTGGGTACAAAGTTCATGTTCAAAACTGGTAAATGCTATCCTGTGTTTGTTTCACAGGTCATACTTGCCTTTGGCTAGTTTGTTAAATGAGAAAAATATGACATAGCACTGCTGCTCAAGAAACAGCTTGCTGAAGCAAACTGTAGGGAGAATTTACTCAACAGTTACTTGGAGCAGATGCCATTTATAATTTCTTCTAATTCTAAAGTCTGATTCCATATTTAAACTCTGCATATCCAAGCCAAATTCATTATAATTTCTTCCCTAAATGATCTATTGCTTCTTAAGTTCTCTGACTTTATAAACAATCATTCAGGAAATTATCTCTTTTTTTCCTTTAAAAAGTTTTCTTTTGTCCTTATCTTCCCATACATTGCCATTGCCTTCCACTAGGTCCTCATCACTTCATGCCCATATCTGTTGATTCTCTATAATTGTGGGTAGGTAGGATCTATAATTATACATATATTTGCTTCTGCAGATTGTTCCTCTACCTATGCTGAAATGATCTGTAATATTATAAGTTTATTGCCAATAACTTATTATGACACCATGTAGACATAGTTTCTACTGTGTAAGTGAGAAACTCACCTAAAATTGTTCTTCTACAAATGCTTTTATATAATTGTTCCAAAGGAAATAAAAAAAGAAATGTGTAAGAAAGTTGCTTTCAACAAAATTACTTTAATAACTGGCTGTAGTGTTTAAAGCTGAAAATAATAATTATCATTAGTTGCTTTTCATTAGAAAATCTGTCTTTTTCTGAAAATGTTTTCTCCTGGCCTGTTAGATATTTGATTGTGGCATAATCCATTTATGATGAGCCATCTTCTAGGTCTGTACTGATTATCTGGTCATTAACATGCTTCATCCATTTGTTTCTTCCTTTGTAATAACAGCATGTCCTACCTTCCTACAGTTACTCTTTCAGTTTGATTCATTTCGCTCAGAACTACTTGTCACCTTGGATTAGTTCTTACTTCTTCACAGGTGCTGGAAATAATTACAGTTTAGGAGAGGTTGAAGTTTTCAGTTCTTCCTCCTTCAACCAGTGTTATATAGGCATTTTGATGTTCACCAAAGGAATTTAGTACTGTCAGTGCTATGAAACATCATTTCAGCCAGTACTCAATAAAAGCTCATTAATAAAAGCTATCTCACTGTACTTACCATGTCTTTTTTTTTCCCATTTTGAAAAATTTAAGATTTAATTTCCCTTTAAAATATGAAACTCTATGGCTATAATTAAGGGCATTCTGCTTTTTATTTGCCCCTTTTACATCATTTTTATCTCATCTATAATAACTTTCTAACTTGTTTCTTTCTTCTTAATTGGAAAATCTCAGACTGGTGGCTGTGGATGTGTTTTCTTGGGCATGCATATTGTTTGAAAATTTTTTCAGTTAGTTGCCAACATATAAAAGCTTAGGATTTCCAATTTTTTGTAAGACGTCTCTAGATTTCAAACCCTATAACTTCTTTACCTAATTGAATTATTCTTTAAACATATAATGTATTTTTCTATTTCCCTGCCTTTGTATGTGCATTCTTCTGCTTGGAATTACTTTGCCTCTCTTTTCTCCAAGGTGAGTCTCTATTTATTCTTTAACGTAGTGCTAAAACCCACCTCCTCCTCACCCCATGAAAAATCGTTCCTGTTCCTTCAGCTAAGGTGTTCTTCTCCCTCCACTGTGCTCTCATAACACATTTCTGCATACCTTTATTATAGTTCTTACGCTGTGTTGTCATTGCTTTCTTGCATACTTACTCTTTTGTTAGACCATGAGGGTATGTAGGTTAAGATCTATGTCATCCTTATTTTCACAGTGTCTCCTACATTAGATGCATAATAAATGTTTGTTGGATTGGATTTTTTTCTCTTTTCTCACCCTTTGTCATTTTGTTTCTTTTTTATAGATAATCTGCTGGGAATCTCTTGGGTTGACAGTTCTTGGATCCCTATTTTGAATAGTGGAAGTGTCCTGGATTACTTTTCAGAAAGAAGTAATCCTTTCTATGACAGGACATGTAATAATGAAGTGGTCAAAATGCAGAGGCTAACATTAGAACACTTAAAGTAAGTTATTGTGAGAAGGCAGCATTTGCCAACTAGAGATTTACAATGAATAGTTCTTTCAAGCTGTGGATTGTGAAGTACAGAGAAGTAGTTTTGGAAGAACTGGAATTTTGTTTGCGTTTGTACAAATTTGACATGCAAAAGAATTATTAGTCACTTGTAACCTGGGAAGTCTTTTCTTTGTAACTTTATATATTACTGTCTAATTGAAATATAACTGTGAGGTTTAGATGTAGATCTGATGAATGATTTAGGCAATGCATCTGTTATCCTCAGTCAGGGAAGTATGCTTATTACCTCCTCTACATCTAATTTAATGTCAAGCCACCGTTGAATTTATAGTAGATTTTTCTTTGTATGACAAATAAAACTTTAGCCAAACAGATGCAAGGCAAGATTCTTCAGGCTTAGGATGCTGAGTAATTAGGATTTTATTACTGTTACAAAAGTTCTGGAAACAACTGTGTAGTAGTTTTTCATCCATCAGCTAAATATGATAGGCAGGAGGGTGGTTTCCAGGAAATTAAATTTCTGGTATTTTAAACCACTTTTTTAATGAGGTAAATATTTACATTTACTGAGATACCTTGATTGTGCTTTTAAACATAATATGTCATAAACATAATAAAACTGTTGGTGATGAAGATAAGGTTTTTGTTTTATTTTTGGGGGGAGAGGTAATTAGGTTTATTTATTTTTTAATAGAGGTACTGGGGATTGAACCCAGGACCTCATGCATGCTAGGCAGGCAGTCTACCACTGAGCTATACCCTCTCACCAAGGATAAGATTTTTGATGTTTTCTAGTTGTGTAGAATATATACTTGACATATATAGTTAAAACAGGTATAGTCTTCCTGTACATTTTTAAATTTTGTGTATATTTATAGATCTCCTTGGTCAGGAAGCATCATGGTATTTTGGTTGCTTTTTTTATACGCTTTTCAGTGTATTTTCAGTCATGAATTTTTGTAGGCATTTTGTTGTTTAAAAGCCAAATCTTGCTTTATCTGTGCTCCACCTGTCTGGGAAAATAGCCAGTTTTATTGAACAGTCAATTTTTAAATATCAAACATAGGCAGTTTTATCCTATTTACAGTGTCGTTATACTTTTGTATAATAGTTTGAATATTCTACAGAATTGTGTGGAGGGCATTCATAGCTCTCTGAACGTGTCTGTGTTCTGGTTTCAGTCAGATGGTTGGAGTGGAGTACATCCTTTTACATGCTCAAGAGCCCATTCTTTTTATCATTCGAAAGCAACAGCGGCAGTCCCCTACTCAAGGTAAAATATGTGAACTTCAGGCATTAGTTTCTTCTTAAAATACCATAATTTATTTCCTTCCTGAGCTGTATGTTCTTATTTTTTTGGATTGGGTTCTGTTTTAGGGATCTGTAATAATCCCTGTGTAAGTTTCTTATGCTTTCCCTTCTGCAAGGACCACACCAAGTGCACCCTCCCTCCAGCAGTGAAATGCAGCCTCACATGCATAATATATCTGTTCAGGGAAGACCATTTTAGGCTCTGAGTCCAGAATTTTTATTGAGAGCTAATGATGTAGACATCTTCTGCCTGCCAAAATTCTGGACTCTCAGAGGGCAATCAGGTTTAATCCATGGTAGATGCAGTTGCACCGGAGTCATAAAAGATCAATTGAAAATCCTCGTTGACACATTCAACCAGGAGACTTACTTGGGTTATATTACTGAACAAAAACTTGTTTTTGAAATTATACTGAAGAGTATAGAATTCAGATCTGATTCTGAATCAAAGAGCTAGTCAGCTGCTCCAGAGATGACCAGCTACATCTCCTAAATTAGGTATTCTTACCAAGACATTTGAGAACAACCTTCACCCTGAGTACTGATTCCAGAGAATGACTTGCTAATGAAGTTGTGGTTCCAGAGTCAAGAATCCAAATTTAGTTTCAAAATCAAAGATCTAGAGTCCCTGCGCAGAGAAAAAGAGAACCTTAGAACAAAGGCAAGGCCAGGGGCAAGGTTTGCATAATGAAAGGGTTCTGGGTACAGAAGCCACACAAGGTGAACTAGGCTCACTAACAGGTCTTTTATTCCTTAGGACCTCACACTGGGCACAGAGGCAAGTTCAGTGCCTCTGATATCTTCATCCAGGCCCTAAATCTGTCTTACTCTAAGGCCTTATTCCCCAAAGTGTGGCTGACTGACAGCAGCACTGGATCACTTAGGAACTTGTTAGGAATACAGTATCCCTACTGAGTAAGAATCTGATTTTAACAAGATACTCAGATGATTCAGATGCACATTAAAGTTTGAGAAGTACTGCTCATAGGGCAAAAGCTGGCACACTTTTTCTGTGAAGGTTCAGAAACTCAATATTTTAGGCTTTGTGGGCCTCCTGGTCTCGGAGACAACTACTCAGCTAGCGCCATAGCAGCCTTAGATAATAACATGAATGAATGGATGTGGCTGTTTTCCTATATGATTTTGTTTACAAAAGCA